TTCTACTTCCCGCTCTAGCAACCTGTGTCGGCAATCGGAATAGACCTTCTCCGGCATGTGGGGCTTATTTTTTGGTGCCGGGACCACCAATTGTTTAGACGGCGCAGGCGTTGCCTTTGCCGCCTTCTTGCCCTTCTTCTACCGACGGGGAGTCTGCAGGCTCTCGGAAGATCGATTGGTCTGAAGGTTTTGCGTTTGCTGTTGGTTCAGCAGCTGTTGTGTTTCTTCCACTCTGGTCGAGAGGAGATTATTGTGTTCTTGCATCCTAGCCATGTTCTGCCAAAGGGACACGACTTGGGCTAAAAGCTCTGCGTTCTTAGCAGCTTGGATCGCAGGGGGATTAGTTGCCGGTGTGTATGGGGCTTGAGCTGGGCTCACCCCGCTTGGCATGCCGAACGGCATCCCCTCCTGCGGTACAAACGTGGTTTTCGCGTTGGTCCCCATAAGTTTGGGATAAAGGGTCGATTTTATCGTTTCCCACAGACGGCGCCAAACTGTTGATGCCAAAAAGTGGTTCTCTGACTTTAAGGGTCAACTTAGTAATTTTGCGCCTTCGGTATCCTTGATGCCTCGGTAGTCTGCGTGATCTGCAATATAAGCAAACGCACGGTAAGACCTAGGGCACCGATGTGGTACCGGCCGAAGGCTCTCCGATGCTTAAGTAAGTTCGGGAATAGAAAGTTCAACTGACAGATCAATAGGCTTATATGCCGTTAGTTCTGATTACCTCCATTTTGGGATAGTTGGCCTCCTTTTATAGGTCTTGGGAGGTGTGCATTTTGTTGATAATTTCGATGTGGGACTATGGACGTCGCTTGGGAGCGTGCCACGTGTCCCAGGTGAGGGCGTTGCCCTAATGGAGAGATCGGTAGGTAGAGTGCCGAGGGCGCCTCTGACCTAGCCCAATTTCCTCCACGTGTCCTGCTCTTATTGGCCGTTTATTTTGGGTGTAAACAAACAGTTTTATTGAGAAACAAGGCATAATAGCCATGATTTTTGTTCTATTTTTTGCAAATCAAATGATGGAAATCTATAAAGGGCTAGACAATGTGATTATAAAAAATAAAGCTTCTTTAGGTCCGAATAAGAAAATAAAACAATCAATTTAAGAAAAAAAACACCAAAAACACTTAAAAGGACAGCATTTTGGTAGAGTCATTCCGTCTTTATAATGTATTCGCAACAAAATCACTTGGTCGCTCAATTCCATGAAACATTTTTAAGCGGTCAAATTCTTTGGCAACGAAAGGTATTTTGATGACCGACGAAATGTTTCATTGCATGATTGTCTAGTGTTTCCCGCCTAGAATTCCATCTCCCGCCCATTTACTTGGCGACCAAATTACTAAATAGTCGTAGATTCCAACATTGAAAGGAATCATAGTTGGTCGCCAATACTTGGTGTTTCATCACAAAACCCTTGATCAAATTTGATATTCTTAAATAAATCAAATCATAATATAGCATAATAGATAATACGATCATCATTATATTGCAGACTAGTCTACAATGTGAATCCAATTTGTAACTAGTATATTTAAACAAATAAAATCATAATATAAGCTAACATGATCATCATTATAAATTGCTATCATGATCACATCTTGCTTTTCTTTTGTTTCTTTGAACATCCCATCCGATCTTGTTAAGTAATTAAGTCATTGCTGGCCTGAGAGGGTCCCTTATTAGCTAGGGAGAAGGTTTTCGGTGGATTAAGTCTGACCATGTCACCTATGCGATAACTCTCAAGATTTTTTTTTTAAAGAACTCATACATTTAGGGTGGGATTGTAATAAAGTCAGGTAAAACATTAATCTCGAATTAATTTTTTTACTTGAGAAAAAATTGTAGAGTGACATAGTCAGAGTGTTTTCTCCTAAATCCTAAATGTGTGATGAGCACAAAATTAATACAAGTTTTATCCTTAATTTTATAATTGTTAGTATTTTCTTTTGTTTTATGTAAATCTATTAGAGTATTTATATTGTTTTTGTTTTCCAATCTTGTTTTATATTTAATGAGTGGTTGTTTGTAGATATTAAGAGTCTTCCACCAATGGCATGAGGAGGAGGAGGAAAAAGTAATGTGTTGCAAAAAGAAGGTAGAAGAAAGATGAAAATGTATGCAGCCATGGTCAAGGAAATATGCTCAAGACAACGTGTGGTTCAAAGCCAAAACCAAAGAAGAAGCAATCAATTGCATTAATATGCTCTAGGACATGCATGCAAGCTTCCATCATTGAAGAAATAAAGAAAGAATGAATAAACAATGAAGGAGAAGTTCAAATTGACTACTTGCAACCAATGAATGCAAAGAAGAATGATGATGCTTGAGTTGTTATCTAGCTACAATTTGAGGAAAGTTGCTGCAGTTTTTATGAGAAGACACGAGAGATGAGATGGAGTAAATGATAAGAAGACAAAAATAAAGATTTTTGTGAAAGCCAAAGTCAAGGAAGTAGGCCAAGATTAAGGAATATACTTGAAAATGATGGGATACTTATTTGAAATGATAAAAGCTTGGAGCAAAGAAGCAAGTGTAGAGAGTGTGGAGAAATTCAAGAGTGATACCCGATAAAGAGAAGAAGGAAAGTATGGAAGTGCATGATAAAGTGTTCAAGTGGAAGAAAGTTTTGAAGAATTTGGAGGAGTCATCATCACAATGAATTAATTAAAGGAAGCATTTTATGAGGAACTAACTCCCTAGCTAAGGCTAGGGGGAAAGCTTTTAATATAAGTGTGTAATTTTTATTAGTTTGATCCAAACTTAAGCTTTAATGTGAATTTGTAGTTTTTGTTCAAATGGAATTTGTAGTTTTCTTTTTAATTAATTGATGAATGTTTGATAATCTATTTCATGGGTTCAATCATGTTTTTCCCATTGTGTAGTAAAAACTTTCATGCTTTTAAAAGAGAAGAGAATTACTAAAGATTAATAGAATTTTGATGAAGATTATTTTTTGATAGTTTGTTGCCAATGATACAAGTTATGCTTAGAATACTTCTAAAGGAAATTAAAAAGAGCTTTAATTATTTTGAACAACTACATTGGAAAATATTTTGTGGATCAAATTATTAAGAGTTGCATGCTTATGTTAAAAGTGGAAACCCAATGCCTTAGTGTTTTAATCAATTAAATTTTCTCTAAATCAAATCTTGCATAAATCTACCTCTCAATCACACTTGTTCTTTTTCATCTCTATTATTTTCTTTACACTGCTCTCTGTGGATACGACACTCGGACTTCCGAGCTACACTACTATACGATACCTTCCCTTGGGTTTTGCAAAAGTGGTGTGAACAATGTGTAAATTTACCGTCCACTCAATAAGAATTGGATATCACTGTGAGGTGAATTGCTTTTCAGTCTTGAATTGATCTTGATCAGTCTTGAATTGCTTTTCAATCTTGGATATCATAGTGTTTCATTACATCCGTTTCTTTTTCGTTATAAAGAAGTCTTTCTGTTGAAGAATGATACATATGTTTTTTTTGGGTGAAACAGGGGGTAAAGACCCCAAAAAGGACAAAAAGCAACAAAGCAAAGAGGGAAAAAAAAAACACAACTAAGCAGCAATAATCATGCGGGTCTTAGTGACCCCTATTGAGTCATCCATGCCCAAGCCAAATCGGAATATCCTCAAGAACCCAGCAACCCAGTTCAATGTTGTGGCTCCAAGCAGCCAGTCTATCAGCTACAGCGTTCTTTTTTAATGTCGTGGCTCCAAGAATGATACATATGTTGACATTACTTTTCTTTAATTAAAAAAAAATGATAAATGATAAATCGTATTTAAAAATCATATTTAAGCACTATTTGTGGTCCAGCCTCTGAATAATTATATAATTGTGTTGGCATGTGGGATTTTTATTTTTATGTGTGAACCTTAAGAATTTTCATGATAGTGGTCCCATTAGTACTACATTTGTTTGAGGAATGTTATTCACAGTCGCTCAAAAGCGATTGCCATCGAACTCGCTATCCACGTGTCTCTCTACTGATGGTTTCTAAGTTGGGCAATAAAATAGTATTGAATTGATTGTACCAATGTTCTCTCTCCTCTTTCTTTTATTCTCTTTTTTTTTTTCCTTTCTTTCTCTCTTCTCTCCCTGTTTCCTATTTTTCCCCTTCGTTTATCCTTCTCTCTCTCTCTCTCTCTCTCTCTCTCTCTCTCTCTCTCTCTCTCCTCCTCCTTTTGTTTTTTCTTCTTCTTCTTCCTCTTTATTTCTCTCTTCTCTCTCTGTGTCTTTTTTTTTTCCTCCGACGTTTCCCCCTTCTCTTTCTTTTTTTCTTCTTCTACCCCTGACTGGCTTGGTGCGGT